CAAACGATATTTAGCGGAATTATCACCATTTATTACCCAATTTTTTCCCAAATTTTTTTTCTATTTTTTGGTCAAATTATATTGATATACAAGATATAATATTTTGGATATTATATTATTATTGATATTATCATATAATGTATATTTCAGGTCAACCAATTTTTATAATACTTAATTGTTACAGTTTTTTTTAAATATTTTAGTTTATTATTAATAGTTCGACTATCTATTATGAATCTAACTGTGAAATAAAATAAAGACAAATAAAGTTTAGATATTTAGACTATGTAATATTAATTATTATACATAATACATATAATAGTATATAATATGTTATTTAATTAAATTTCTAATAAAAATTTGATGATATTATATTATGTCCTAAGCGAAAATCAAAAATACACCATATAATTATTATTTCCTTACGTTTAAAATAAACAATTTTAAACAGCACTATGCCACTATGAATACATTTTTTTTACAAAACTACGGTTTTTTAATCAAATTACGTAGATAATAGTAATTATGAATTATACAGAATGAAAATTATCACTATACAAACAATTCAATGTAAAAAACCATGAAAACTCTTATGATTGTCAGAATATTATCGAACCGGCATCTATGAACATTCTGCTTAGCAGGAATCTAATTTCCTGCATATACTTAGCTATTAATTATTAAGAGATAGCGATCTAGAGCGAATCGTGGATACTTAAACATTGCTCATTAACAAAGTTATTTTATATCACARCACTGTTTTTCGTTTTCTGTAMAATTTATAATGTACCTAGGTAATAATATAATTTTTTGATATCTATGATTTAAACAAACTTATTTTTTCATAATTTAACCATGGATATATAATGAAATTGGTCGAAGAAACGCGATATTAATTTGTAATGTGTTATTATTTATTTCAACAAATTATTATGTTTTTAATATTACCATCAGCTACAATCATTTATCGTTCAGTGTTGGGCGAATATCGCTACACGGAATAATCTATTCCGATTTCATTGTCAGCTGCTATTTCAATTGCCTTGACCAATGGTATTGAAAAATTTTATTTTCATTCTACACTCGTCACTCGGACAGGGGTATAATATATTATTGAGTTTACGAGCAACGAGGTATATTAGATAATACTTCGTGTGTTTCAGTTCAAGCCGTCGTCGTGTTGGCGTTATAGGTACTTATCCTTGTACGAGGTCGGTTAATGAGGCGAAAATAAAAACTGATATCAGTATATATAATATGTAWTATAAATTCATATTATATTGTTGAAACTAATATAATATTATAAAAATATTAAGTTTTTTGTGTGCGCTACTATACAGCTTACGTGTATTAGCATTATTAGTTAAATATGTATAATACAGTATATTTAATCAATGGTATTAGGTAGCTCTAAATATAATAAATATATATTTAAATGACTTTCCAAAATCGAATTTGTTTTGTAGAAATATAGAATATGTTAATTTTTCACTAATTCTAGCATAGGTAGGTATTAGCATTGATTATAAATACTAAATATTATAAACAGTATTTATAATCAATGGTATACTGGTATTAGGTATTATATTCGGACATAACTACACAAATTTTACCTAAATACTTAATCTAAGACATATTCTTAACAGAATAATATAAGTAGTATATTTATAGGTATTTTTAATTTTAATACTAATGTTAATATAGGTTAGCCATATATTGCCTAACCAATATTATAATTGCTTTATTAGGTATATATATTATATAAATAATGATACGTATATTAAATTTTGTCACTATACATAGACCATACCCAAATACTGAAATACTTTTAAAACATCCAAATTACGCATATTGTACAATATGGTTTAATCTATAAAGGTTTCAAGCTTTTTCTAAGGTGAAAACTCTATTATAACTCGTATAAACCATATAGTTAAGAACGTTTCAATATTTAGATTTATGATTCTCAAACCACTATAAGCTATAAATAGCCTATCGCCCTAATTAATAAAATACAATTTCGCCATATATAATTTAATAGACTATAGTTTCTGTGTATACCTACGATGTGTGACTACTTTATACATAGGTAAAAAAACAGATAGTTATGACGTAATCTGTGCCAAAAATTAAAATTAAATTCTAATCACTTAAAAAAAAAGAAGCTAATAAATGGCTATTTCAACGTTACAATGTCATTTCWTCGAATAAAAACATGAAACCAATACAATATAATATATTAAAACCTAATAATTATAACATTTATAACTGTAATATTCAATAGGTAACTATTTTGTAAGTTGTAAGTTATAATGAGTATTAATTAATCAACGTTGAGTTTGATTTGTCAAAATGCTGTACTTTTTTCTTTTTACTGTACCTATCGTTTYGATACTTGAAGAAATTGTAGGTCGCTGCGAATTCAAATAATGATTACCGTTGGTCATACAAATCGTTTTCGAACTCGATGACCATGAATTCTCCTAGATCACGCACTATCGCCCAAATCTCGWTGGCAACAACCAATGTGAATTTCACTTCCTGGATTTAATAATTTGTTTTTTATGAAAATAATATACATCATTATAGTAAGTATTCTATACTTCACTCTTTAATATGGATGTTTTCACGATTCAAATATTTTTAGGTCATTTTTACAAATCATTGTTATTATAATAGTTATAGGTATAGTAACAGTTAGTATTATATTTTATAAGTCAATAGAAATTACCAAAATGGTAAAATATTTAAAAAACTAATGCTTCCTATTTCATGTTTTGATGTTTTTGATTTATTATTATGGTGAATGTGACCAATATTCTTAAATGTTAATACGGTATATATTTTAAGTAATTATATTATAATACTTATTATTGAACGGCTATAATAGAGGACCGAATTTACTATAGTCTAAAAGACACGTMGCTGTAATATATTATAATATAAAAGTCAGAATGTTGGATGTGTATCGACTCAGCTCGACTTTACCCGTAGCACAATGCTACATCAATATCATTTATTTAAATTCACGCAAACGCTAATGACCAAACCAAAAGCGAAATTGACATGCTAGCATTGCTAGCCAATATATTTTTTCAGAAAAATTAAATGTTTAGTCAAAAAYATTACAATTTGCCGTGTTTAATGCTTTATTCTGGATTGTAGGTTTAACCTATACGTTAAACGCTGTGACAATGCGTTCTCGGTCTGCGTTCGCCTTGAACGGTTTAACGCGCGAGAATGAAGGAAGACCCGCGAGGGGTATACGTCTACCTATCTACAGCGATTTAAACGCCGATCGTATGCTGTGTCTTTGTCACCGGCGCGTTTCGTACGTTATTGTGAATAAATTGAAACGTGCTTCAGTTTTTTGTACTTCGGATTTTAGGTAGATATACGTTTAGGGCTGTCCACGTAAATCCGCAAGACGCAAGATATTAAGTATATAAAGGTATCAAAACAACAAAATAACTATAAAGGAATAGCTTTTTCCTTTTACTGAGGACGGCGAGGGTTATATAAATTATTATTTTATCATCATAGTATTACACAAGCAATATACCACTTGCAGTATAATATGTACTAATGTACCGGTTTGGGTATGATTTTTTTTCGTGTAAATCAATAATATTCGGATTAGATCAGCATATACCGTTTACGTGTTCAGAATACACGCGGCAATGACCCGGTAGCCTTTGGTCTTGTTTGGTTTAAATATGATTTTTGATTACGATATCGCGCGTAACCGCTGTAAAACGCTAATTGCTGAACACATTTGTTGTGTTCTCAAAGGTCGAGAGAATAGTCGCTATATAAGCGCAATAAAAATAGCGCAATGAAATTGATCTACAAAAAGGATATTCAGGTATGTTTACACTCGTGCGTTTTTTCTTGCGTTAGACGCATGCATCATAGCGCACCGTGAGTTGAACGAAAAAGCTTGCAATAGCGCATGCCCTTTCAAGTTGAACGGCTACATTTTAGTGACGCACGCTTCGACGCAAGGTCTCCCGCGCTCGGTGGGAATCCGTTCAACACGCTGTGCTTTTTTGTATTGTACTATACGTATATTAATATTTTAGTATATACTGATATTATTTTATATTTTGTGTGTATTTGTTAAAAAATGACTGAAAACGAAGATCAAAATCAAACAACACGATTCATTGACGATTACAGGTAATATTATATTTTAATTAAATTAAATAAATTACATTAAATTAAATTAAATTTATTTATTTATTAAAATTAGTTTTAATTAAGGAATTGATTTAATTAATTACATAATATTATTATTATTTTATATTATGTAGATCGTTTCCGATACTATGGGATGCAAACCACAAAGACTACACAAACAAGATTAAAAGAAACGATGCCATTGTCTCGATAGGCACAAAATTTAACATGGACGCGGCGGCAGTAAAATCAAAAATAAAGAGCTTGCGATCGTACTATTCTAAAGAACGACAAAAAGTACTCAAGAAAAAATCTGGTTCTGCCACGGAAGAAAATTATTCTTCCTCATGGTTTGCGTATAAATCGCTACTCTTCATTTCTGATTCAACTACACCAAGGGAAACAAGGGATAGCGAAGAACATGATAACCCGACAAGCGTTAACAATAATGAAAACGTAAGTTATTTTATATTTAAGCATTTTTATATTTATCAGTGTTTATTATTAGATTCAGTGTGTTATTTACGTATCTGTTAGCTATGATAACCATATGTAAAACTATTTGGGTTTATTTATTTCTGGTTTATTATTATGTGTACATTGATTAACAAATCATAATATAATACGGTTCACTATATTTATTATTTTATAATACTAATAACTAATAATCTCGCAGTCGTATAATTACGCAGTCGTACGTTATAAGTTATTTTGTTATAATACGTATCTCTATATTATCTTAATAATATAATAAAAAAGAGAAATAACTTAATATTTTTACAATTCAATTGCTGGTGTATTTATTTATAAGTATATGTCCTGAAATGGTACTGACCCAATTTCGGACATAAAATATGACATAAATTCTTCTCTGACGTTTTTTGCGGTTGTCGCTGGTCTTCGTGGAATTGATCGAAATGGCCTCAAACCAGTGTCACCAGAAGTGATTTCTCTCCACGATCCAGGAATAATTTCCCCTGTACTTGTATCATAACTATCGAAACACCCTGACGTTGAATAGAATTGTCTAGAATCTGGTTGCACTCTTAAAAAATTGTGAAGGTAAACACAAGCTAGTACAATATTAATTATTGTATCTTCAACTTTGATTTCTATTGGCTTGCGGAAAACTCTAAACACGGAAGAAAGTAACCCAAATGTGTTTTCTATTATTCGACGCGCTCTGGACAATCTGTAATTATATACTCTTTTTGGAGAACCTTTGTTTAAGTCTGTGTTGTATGGTTTCATAATATGTTCAGTTAATGGAAAAGCATCATCAGCTACTAAAACATAAGGAAGTGACAACGTACGACCAGGTAGTGGTTCATTTTCTGGTAAATTAAGTTCATTTTTTTCGAGTTTCTTATAAAATGAAGTATTTTTGAAGACACCTCCGTCTGAAATTCGGCCTTGGCATCCAACGTTAACGTATAAGAAACGATAGTTAGCATCAGCTATTCCTAATAAAACAATACTATTTGTTCCTTTGTAGTTGTGAAACTCACTTATCGTATTTTCCGGTTTTTGAATTACGACGTGTTTGCCGTCAATAGCACCGAAACAGTGAGGGAAATTCCATAGCTTGTTGAATTCATTTGAGATAGATTTCCATTCTTGGTCACTTGAGGGAAGCTGTAGGAAAAATAATTTATTAATATATGCAATAAAATGTGTTTGCAGGATCTACAAAATGAAGAAATATGTGACGATCTGCAAAATACTATAACAGATTATGAATTCGTACAGCCTATAAGGGCAAAGAGAAATTTAAAAAAAAGTGTTCGTGATGAGAGAGAAGACGAGGCTTACAAATTCATGAAAAAAGCAGCTGACGAAATGTCTGCAAGAGATGAGTTTCGTACATTCGGCACTTTTGTAGCGGATAATGTAAGGAAACTTAAACCCATGAACCAAATTTTGGCCAAACGTCAGATTACCAACATACTTATGGATTTACAAATTAAAGAAATGGAAACATGTGAAAGACAACGATTCAGGACTGAATCGCCAGAAACCTCTGTTGGAACATACAGTAGTGACACCCAGTCTTTCGTATTTGACGAGTCAACAAATCTTGCAGTAAACACAGTTGATGATTTGACTTCAAATGACAACATAGATGCGTCGTTMAAAATCGGCGAATTTTTATCATTCAATACAGCAAATGAGAACATTTAAAGTGCCTACCTACATTTTTCATTTTTCATTCTCATTTTTTTTAAATGTAATAACTAATTACCAATATGTACATACAATAAATAAYAATAAAATGTTTCCTAATATGCTCTACTATTATTGTTAGTTATTATAAAAAAATATGAATTGAAACGTATTATAATATAATAATTAATAAGTTACGAAAAATTATTCTGAGTGGAGACGTTGTATCATAATTGTATAAAAAATCAAATTTAATAGTTAAAAAGGTGGGCAAGTGGGTGTCGCTCTGCTGTACAGTAGGTTACAAGTGGGTCATTGTAATGGATTGTGTTAAATTTGAATTCAATGATATAATATCATTGTATAAGAAAAACGATTCTGAGCGAAGACCTATGATATTAGTAAGTATATTTGATGATCTTATATCTTATAACATTTTATACATTTTTAACTAAAAAATAATTTTAAAATTTAAATTTGATAAATTTAGGTCTGTATGAGTTTTTGAGTTACACAAAATTAATTGGTTTAGCATAAAAATTAACACTTTTTATTTTTCTTAACTCTTTCTATAACTACTTGGAATTTTTAATTTTGATCTTCTATAAGTACCAACTAGATTCACTTTTCTACTAGAAAAGGTGCTAACAGACAGAAAAAAAACAAAAAAACAAGAGAATCTAAAAAATGGAATTAGGTACTATATAATGTATACCTTAAACCTAATTTAATTGTATGAATACATTTACTTACCTTTATATAATTCTGTAGAGCATTTATTATAGCTTTCAATACCGTGGGCAACATAGTCGATATAAATGGCTTGGAGACTTTAAACAGGTACATTAAAGAGGAAAACGAATCTCCTGTAGCTAAATATCTTAGCGTTATTAATAACTTAATTTTAGCTGGAACGGCCTCTCTGAAACGAGTGTTTTGTTTTACTATTTCGGGTTCAATTATTTTTAATATTGAGTAAAAATTGGCTTGAGACATTCGCGTAAAATTTCTAAATAAAATATCTTCGTCTAATTGCAAATCATCTATAATTCCGAAATTTCGATTTTTTAAATAATTTTTAACCCACAATGAACGCTTTTTCCTACGTTTTTTATTTGCACTCGCAATAATTAAGTAGGCCGCACTGACACCGAGAAGTAGATTTGAATCCGACATGATTTTTATTAAAATGCTGGAAGGTGACTACTTTGACGTCGCTGGTGTGAACAGAAAAAAGCATGCATCTGAAGCATTCATTAAAGGCATGCACTTGGTGAAAGTGGAATTGAATGTTGAAACGCATGTTGAATTGAAAATTGAAACGGAAAGTGCATGAGTGTAAACATACCTTTCCTGAATTTATAAATATGACCTAGACATTTATGATCTATATAACCCATTTACATAAAAAAAATTGCCTACCTCCAGCCTATATTGGCTATATTTGATTTTTTAATACGTAGGTATTAGGTAATATTTGATCTGTAAATATTATGATACACGTCCTATATACTTGTGCACGTTAGATATTATTACCTATAATGTATAAAATAACAGTATGTTATACTGAATCGTAATACCAATACAAATTTAATTTCAAGGGAAACTTTTTCGCGTTATCGAATTTTGTACTTTTGTGCCTGTTGGTGTGTATTGGTTCAATGTTAAGTGACCTACGAGCACGGCGATTAATGTAGAACGGGGTAATGAAAACATGTTAACGCTTCTCGGTGATAACATACTATACAAAAAACCTTAAAAGTCAAGGTTTTGAATTAAAAGGATATGATATCGGAACATAAATGTTTATTTCGAAAGAGTTRAAAAATATTAAACACACACACGCACACATCGAATCTCTATTTTTTATTGTTATTTCTTCCTATTATAAGGCTAGATGCGTCTAAATATATATTTATAATTATTTACATAGATATACGAGTTGTTTTGACACATACCCTAATAATATGGAATACATTCTGATAAACTTTAAAATGTAAATAGTATTCACTGAATACCCATTCAAGGATAATAAATTGACAAACAACAATCATTAAACGATCGTTCGCATATAGCATTAAATATTTTGTTTATTACAGACCTAATAAAATTAAGTTAATATAACACGATCGTTAATTAATAAAAAATAAAATAACATTAATAATTTATTTTATATTTATATTACATTATTTTAAGAAAAGTGTGATTTTTATGGGCCTTCAAGGCAATAGTAAAATCGCTGAGAAAAACTAAATGTGTATAATATATTAATATGCAAATGAATAGAGAACATTTAAAGAAACATAATGCTAAAATACTTTCGATATTATAAAATATAAGGTACATTTTTAAAAACTGGTTGATATAGTGATTACTTATAAGCTAGGTATAGGTACTTATTATATAATATTATAATGCGAACATTAGATCTAGAATTTATTTGATGAAGCCGGTTCAGGTATGA